AACAGACCTGGCGCTGCCCATCCATCCCCAATATTAGATGAGCTTTCTGATAATTGAAAACAAACCTAAAATCTTTATATGTAAAAAGCTCGGCTGTAAAGTTTCTTGGCATAAAGAGCATTCATCATCATCATCATCATCATCATCGTTAACATGTATAGCGTATCTTGCGTAAAGCAGACCTGGGCAGCCCATCCATCCCCAATATTAGATGAGCTTTCTGATAATTGAAAACAAACCTAAAATCTTTATATGTAAAAAGCTCGGCTGTAAAGTTTCTTGGCATAAAGAGCTTTCATCATCATCATCATCATCATCAACATATATAGCGTATCTTGCGTAAAGCAGACCTGGCGCAGCCCATCCATCCCCAATATTAGATGAGCTTTCTGATAATTGAAAACAAACCTAAAATCTTTATATGTAAAAAGCTCGGCTGTAAAAAGTTTTCTTGGCATAAAGAGCATTCATCATCATCATCATCATCATCGTCAACATGTATAGCGTATCTTGCGTAAAGCAGACCTGGCGCTGCCCATCCATCCCCAATATTAGATGAGCTTTCTGATAATTGAAAACAAACCTAAAATCTTTATATATAAAAGCTCGGCTGTAAAGTTTCTTGGCATAAAGAGCATTCATCATCATCATCATCATCAACATATATAGCGTATCTTGCGTAAAGCAGACCTGGCGCAGCCCATCCATCCCCAATATTAGATGAGCTTTCTGATAATTGAAAACAAACCTAAAATCTTTATATGTAAAAGCTCGGCTGTAAAGTTTCTTGGCATAAAGAGCATTCATCATCATCATCATCATCATCAACATATATAGCGTATCTTTAGTAAAGCAGACCTGGCGTAGCCCATCCATCCCCAATATTAGATGAGCTTTCTGATAATTGAAAACAAACCTAAAATCTTTATATGTAAATGCTCGACTGTAAAGTTTCTTGGCATAAAGAGCATCCATCATCATTATCATCATCATCATCAACATATATAGCGTATCTTGCGTAAAGCAGACCTGGCGCAGCCCATCCATCCCCAATATTAGATGAGCTTTCTGATAATTGAAAACAAACCTAAAATCTTTATATGTAAAAGCTCGGCTGTAAAGTTTCTTGGCATAAAGAGCATTCATCATCATCATCATCATCGTCGTCGTTGTCGTTGTCGTCGTCGTCGGTACCACGGCCGGGTGTCATCGTAGGGTCTCATCCTAGCTCGGCCAGGCAGCGGATTCGAGGGGACATCCATGATTTCATTTATCAGAAAATGGAATCTTCTTGTCTCTTCATATTCTATTTCAGTGATTTTTTTTTAACAGAGGACGAAAAGTGTGACACTGAAATCCGAAGGGGCATTGGGATAGCGAAAGATATACAAAGGACACGAAATCGTGGAGAGTCATGATCACCAACGTCCTGACTGCGCATAGCACATGGAAGAAGAGGAATGCTAGTTAAGAATTGAATGGAATATTATTTTTATCTCAAGTGTACTTATAGCCAAAAATGTTGCTCCGCATTTTCTCATGGCGTATCAAATATAAACAAATGATGTCACACATTATGAAATGGGCAAAGTCCGACAATTATTTTAAGATATTTTTATGTTTATACATTCTTTTTATAGATACAAATATTTAAGTAAATGCTCTGTTTACAATAAACAGTATTAACAACATTTACCGGCCTGAATATCCGAGAAATTTTCATAGAAAATATGCGTCCACCAACAGGAATCGAACCTGTATCCTACACGGAACCGTCATATAGCCTGATGTGCCTTAACCGATTGAGCCACAGAGGATTGTTCGGTTAGCAATGGTCGATTTTACTGCTTTTAAACTATAATCTTCCATAAGTCTCTCACATACATTCATATCTGCTCAAAGCGTATCCAAATGTAAACAAATGACGTCATACATTATGAAATGGACAAAGTCCGACAATTATTTTAAGACATTTTTATGTTTATACATTCTTTTTATAGATACAAATATTTAAGTAAATGCTCTGTTTATAATAAACAGTATTAATAACATTTACCGGCCTGAATGTCCGAGAAACTTTCATAGAAACTATTCGTCCTCCGATAGGATTCGAACCTGTATCCTATACGGAACCGTTTATTTAGCCTGACGTGCTATAACCGATTGTCCACTTCATAATGTATGACGTCATTTGTTTACATTTGGATACGCTTTGAACAGATAGGAATGTATGTGAGAGACTCATGGAAGATTGTAGTTTAAAAGCAGTAAAATCGACTTTGCTAACCGAACGATTCTCCGTGGCACATCAGACTAAATGACGGTTGCGTATAGGATACAGGTTCGATTCCTATCAGAGGACGCATATTTTCTATGAAAACTTCTAGGACGTTCAGGCCCGTAAATGTTGTTTAATACTGTTTATTATAAACAGAGCATTTACTTAAATATTTGTATCTATAAAAAGAACGTATAAACATAAAAAAATCTCCCAAGTACAATACTTTCTTAATATTAAATTAAACAAATAACATTCTAATCGCAATGGAATAAGAATACAAGGCGTTCGGAAAGTCATTGCGCATTTATATTTTTATTAATTAACAGCTACAACCAAGGAGAAATTATGTTGAAAAACGGCAACAACATCAAATCCGTCCATGAATTTATCTCGGCAGCAATATCCAATCAACGGAGAGAGACATCAAAATCAGCAAAGGCATGTGCTTTGGTGTCCTTGATGGTCTGAGCGCCATCTAGAAGTCTTCCCTCTCTGACAATCTTAAGAAGGACTTCTTTAAGGCCACGGTAGTATCTGTCTTGCTATAATGACTCAACAACATGGACAAAGACGAAACAATAAAAAGCACCACTTGACGGAACATGCACAAGAATCTTACGAGTTGCATTGGACATCAGCTGGCAGAAACACCCAACAAAGAAACACCTGTATGGACACCTTCCTCCTCTCTCAGTTTCGCTAAGAGAGAGTAGCACAACAAACACCGCTTACAGTTTTACATCAGCCAATTATGTGTCATGCTTGATACACGCTTAGGCGACCTTTGGATACATGACTGACGAGGCAGATTTTTTCCCGCAGTAGGTTGCCATTTCTTTCTACGGTAGATCAGTTGCCATCCAAGGCTATAGAACCCGTTCTGTCCTGCTATTTACACATAGTCAGTTATGGGCCATGCGTGATACACGCTTAGGCGATCATGTATGTTTTGGTACATGACTGACGAGGCAGATCTTTTTTTCTGCAGTAGGTTGCCATTTCTTTCTACGATAGACCAGTTGCCATCCAAGGCTATAGAACCCGGTCAGTCCTGCTATTTGCACATGGGGTGGAGAAGAAGTGGACTCATACCTTTCCCAAGGGTATTAGCACATAAGTGAATGTAATGGATTCGACTGGAATTCGAATTCAATCCGAGCTGCTAACCATTACTCCACCGTACCTCTTAGTTTTACAGAGGAAACGTTAAAGATACAGAGGTGCTGAGGCTTAAAATTAAATTTTGGAATCTGGTACATCCAAATGTTTAAATTAATCAAACTTATTTATCGATTGTGCTTTTTTTTGCTTTTTTTTTACTTTTAGTTATATCGTTATTGTTTTTCATTATTCCTAATTGTATCAACATTTATTTTATATAGGTACCTCCAATAATTCGCTAAAAAATCAGAATAGCATAATGATAAAAGCTCACAAACTTAAAAACAAAATTTCATCGTTTAAATGTTTATGTTATTATTAAGAGAAAAGAAGAAAGTATTTTTAAAATATTTTTTTAACTTTTTTTTCCTTCGTTCTAAATTTGGGTAAAAAATCTCGATTTTTTTTGGTTTTTTGTTTTTGTTAACTTTGAAATTCTTGTGGTAATGGCCATTTTAGTGTAGCAGTTTCAAGGGGAACATCCATTAATTTGGAAATTCTAGCAAAAATCAAATAATTGTCTGATTTTAATGAAACTTTCAGGACATATTCAAAAATAAATTAATTTATTTTTGAAACTTTTATTTTTAGAAAATCCTGGTAAAAATATTTTTTCTGCATCTGTTACCCCCCCCCCCCCAATGGTTTTATGAAATTTTCTAGAATTTCAAACAGTTCGCAAATTGTTTTAATATTGCTTATAAACAGGACTTCTTGGAGAAATTAAAGCATCAATTTTTTTTTACAACTACTGCTAGCTTTTTAAAAAAATCTGTTCCAAATCATAAAATAAAAACTGCAATAAACTATCTATCAAATCAGATAGGCTTTTATTTGCTTTTATAAATAATATACATTAAGAACATTATTATCTGAAGAAAAAAATTCGATGAATAAAGAATTTTTACAAGAATTGCTTTCATTTTTTTTTTTTTTTTCTTTCATTTTAAAAAATGCTTTAAAATTCTTCCAAACAGAGTATGGGGTAGGTTATTAAGTTTTTAAGTGAAGACTATATTTACTAAGTGAAAATTAAAAACTTAATACAAACAATGCTACCAAAACTTTTTACCTTAATTAAAAATATCTTTTTGTTGTGCATTAAAATGTTATGTTTTTTTAGTATGATATCTCAGAAACTTTATCTTTAAAACTTGTCTCCTCCTTGGGGAAGCCCCTTGACATGTAAATGTCTTATCTCACTCTCAGTTATTAAATTAAAAATGGAGTCCGAGATTAGTGTACATTCAATATATTTTCGTTTTAATAAAGAGTTAAAAATAAAACAGATTTTATATATTATAAATAAATTTAATCTAAATTTAGAAACGATAAAAAGCACGATTGTATTTTTTGCGTCGACTGCATTTGAATCTTGTATAAATTGTACGTTTACGGCGTTTCTCATCGCTGCCCAATAAATTTACTCCTTTCTCACTTTGCTCTAGTCTACGTTATCCATCTTTTGTACTCACAAATTAAATATTTATGCTGCCAGAGAAAAAGTGATGAGTAAAAATCGAATCCTGCAAATGATAAAGTAACATTTGTTTGAGAAATGTTCGACCCTCTACTTGTATGTCACGCATTTATCATTTAAAAATATCACGTCTAAATATAAATATATTGTCTAAAATTTGCTATATTTACGTGGAAAAAGTATTCGACATCGGAAATAGAGCGATTGTGCTTGAAAACAAGCGTACTACTAGATTGGCAACTATTGGGTTGGTGCATAATTATCAGGCGTTTTTCTAAGCTTGTTATTTGTTAATAAAAATTGCTGTTTTGTTTACATTTTTTTTTTAAATAAAAATATTATTTTATTTTCAGGTTTTAAAAATGTCTGACGATAATCATACTCATTTAAAAATGTTATTGTTGAATTGTTATATCTCTTTTTTTCATAATAAATATTATTTTAAAAAAACGCCTGGTAATTATGCACCAACCCAATATGTCCCACCGCTTTACTCTTGAACTAGCTAGATGCAACCGCCACTTCTACTCTAATAGTTTTCGTTTCTCGCACTTCTCGCATGTGGAACACCCTTGCGATATCTTGCTTCCCTGACAACTACAATCTTCAAAAATTTAGCTGCAACGCCTATCGCCATTTTCTGTCTTCCTAAAACCCATTTTTTTATTGTCCTTTCTCCTCATTAAAGTTTTCTAATTCTCTTTCACTCCGAGTAACCCCTTACGTCCTAGTAGTATTATCGCTTTATTTGGGGTGAAACTATAAATAAAAAACAATGTAGATATAGGGATCAACACTGCATCGTTACTGCCAGTTTCACGTTTCAATGTGACAGTCTCCATGCAGTATTGATCTTTACGTTGACAATCGCTATGAGGTAATGTTAATAGTGTCATTAACCGTTTCTTTATAAGGAAACATTCGGTATTCAGTAACCAATCAACCAGTATTACTGACAGTTGAAATTTATAAAATGTTTCACTTAAAACAAATTTTTCAGGGTTTTTTTTCAAGTCCAGTAGCTGTTATCGCTCTTTCCAGTATTGAAGGGTGGTTTTGCTCATGCCATTATTTTCTCTTCAAGTTACATGTGATATCCATTTTAGTTGTTACTGATGTTGAAAGTCTTCAAGTCATGTGGTTTCTCTCATCTAGTACAGTTCTGTTTTTGTGATATCTGTAGCACCAGTCCACGAAGAAAGATGGCCTTCTTCAAGACCCACAGGCTTCACCTGCTCAAAACCATTTTTAACTATTGATCTGAAATCAGTCAGTTATGCTCCATATGTGATATATGCTTAAGCGATCATGTATCTTTCAATACATGACTGATGAGGCAGTAGGTTGCCATTTCTTTCTGTGATAGATTACTCAAACAATACAGCAAGGAATTAGACCAGTTGCCATCCAAGTACCATCCTGCTATTTACCCATAGCTTGATGGGGGGATGGAGAAGAGGATTCATACCTTTCCCAAGGGTATTAGCACGTAAGTGAATGTAAATGGATTTGACTAGAATTCGAACTCGGCTTTCCGATTCCTCAATCCGAGCCGCTATCCATTACTCTACCGTGCCTCCTGAAATAGCGTTTGTCTACAGCTGACAGTTTATATATTTATGAATGGCACTGGTTCCGTGCATGACAACCACGTGAATGTCTCCATCTGACGAGTGTATTTAAGAATATGAGTCGAGTTTGCAAGTTAATATTTTGGTTTTGTAACAACTTACTCAACCAATACAGCGACACAATTCTGAGAGAATGAAAGTCCTATCAGGATTCATTACTGGCGGCCACAATCTTAACAACCTAAGATAGACAGACGACACCGTGCTGATAGCAGACACGGAAAGGAAACTAAAAAGCTCCTACAGAAGGTAACAAAAGAAAGCCAGAAGAAAGAACTAAATATAAACTACAAGAAGACAGAATGCATGGTTGTCAGCAAAAGGGACAACCCAAAATGTAAATTACAAATCGGGGATACTAAAATCAAACAAGTACAGAAATTTAAATATCTGTGAAGTGTTCTAACAGAGGACGAAAAGTGCGACACTGGAATAACCAAAGATGCCTTCCAAAAGCTAAGCAGAGTATTAAGAGACAGAAAATATTTCGTTGGAAACAAAGAAACGAGTACAGAACTGTAACGTGATATCTGTCCTTCTATATTAGCAGCGAATGCTGAACAATTTCCTGAAAGATGAAGAAGAGACTTGAACCAACAGAAATATGGTTTTACAGCAAGATGCTGAGGATGCTGTGACCCGAACATATGAGTAACGACGAGGTCTTGGAGAAAATTGAAACAAAAAGGAAATTTATACTTAACACCAGGAAGAGGCAGTTGAAATTTCTTGGGTACGCAATGAGGAAAAAGGGCTTGGAAAATTTGATACTCACAGGACAGATTGAGGAAAGTAGCGCATAACTTTATGGGCATGATCAAATGGATAGCAGAACAGGGTTTGGGAGAAATAATAAAAAGACAAAGCTTATTAAGAGCTACAAGAGACAGGAAGTTGTGGAGGGTTATGACCTGAAGGGAAACGGCACATAAAGAAGACGCAGCTTGCGGTGTTGAGAGAAACTACCTTTAGCGCAGCCTGCTGATCCTGCTAATCCCTATATCCATATTATCTCTATCCTTTTCTTTCTTTCTTTCTTTCTTTCTTTCTTGTTTTCTTTCTTGTTTTCTTTCTTTCTTTCTTTCTTTCTTCCTTTCTTTCTTTCTTTCTTTTTTTCTTTCTTTCTTTCTTTCTTTCTTTCTTTCTGTGCGAGTGAGCCCCTGTGTTTGTGCATGCGCACACATTTATGTAAAACATATCTCAGAATCGATTATATATATATATACTAGCAGTAGAGCCAGGCGTTGCCCGGGGATGTAACAGCAAGAGATAGATCAAGTATAGACCATCATAAAGACTGAAAGATAAAATTGACAAAGATTATTGTTTAAGGCTGATGAACACGCATGTCTTAATTTTTTTTTTTTTTTTTTTTTTTACGAATTGGTCAAACCCAAACTCAAACAAAAACATTGTTTTCAATCGTTATGAGTCTACCGATTGAATAGAATTTTATTATAGACAATTGTCTTGTAAATGGAATTTTTAAAGCATTTAAAGAATGTAAAAATAAAGAAAAAAGTGTGCAAGACAATAAGAAACACTACCTGCCAAAAAATAGTGAAGTTTTGTTGAAATCAGTTGAAAAATGTAGGAAATCCGATCCCATATATAAACGAACACACACACACACACACACACACACAAACAACCAACCTGGGTTTTATAATAAGTATAAATCGATATGAGTTGTCCCCCTTTGATTAATGCCTCTTAATCGTCTTTTCAAATTGATTTCGTGCAAAAACAATTGTGTTTTTCCAATTTTTGCCACTGTCAGAACCACCGCAAGGTAATTTTACATAGTCCTGTGAAGTTTTGTTGAAACTTTCGGCCTTGTGCCACGTGTAAGCTACGCTTAGAAAATCATTTTGGGCACCTCGAAGTGGTGTAATGTTTAGCAAGCTTGTCTCGCTCGAATAATTACGACTGTGCCACATCCAAGCTAAGCTTGAAAAATCGCTATAAGACAATATTCCTAAACAGAACTATTTTTGATATGAAGATCAATTCTCGAATAAAAGAATAGTAATGAAGGACACTTAATTAATGAAATATGCTTCTTCTTTTTTTTAAAAATTCATATGCAAATTAGTTAAACCTGAAAAGTGATATCACTATATAAGTCAGATATTGAGCTTTTAGTCTGTAAATAAATATGAAATAACCTCATGGCTTATCATCTCTCAGTTGTGCCTCTGTCTTTGGGCAAAGTGCGCTCAGGGGCTTCTCTGTCAAAGGACAGAGGGGCAACTGAGAAAATAATACTGAGAGATGCCGGTCCTGGGGAACAGCTGCCCGAGGCCACGCCCTCTCATTGCATTAGAGAGAAGGATCGGTGCACGCACCGAGGCCGGCGCAACCGACGGTTGCGAGGACTCGGGGAATTTTTGTTCCTTGCCCGGGTGCACGCGCTCGGGGTCCCCACATTAAACTGACCTTGTGTCACAACCTGACCTCGTGGTGGGGTTGAGTAAATATCTGTCTTTGGGCTTCTCTGTCAAAGGACAGAGGGGCAACTGAGGAAATAATACTGAAGAGGTGCCCAGCCCTGGGGAACAGCTACCCGAAGCCGCACCCTCCCATTGCACCAGAGGGAGGGATCGGTGCTCGCAACGAGGCCAGCGCAACCGACGGTTGCGGCGGCTGTGGGGAATTTTTGTCCCTTGCCCGAGTGTACGCGCTTTAAAATGACCTTGTGTCACATCTCGTCCTAGTAGCGGGGGGACGAGTAAATACCGTGAAATTACCTCAGAATCCGTGGGAGAATTGAGCTCCAATTTCGCATTTATTTACATAGATAGATGTACATAAATAAGGAATTGTTTTGCTGATGGCTTTTATAGTTACTGATTTAGGCAGTGTAATGGTTAGCAAGCTTGTATTGCTAGAACCATTACGACTGAGTCGTGTGTTCGATCCTTACTGGATACCCCGCACTTTCTGCCTAGTACCACATCTAAGCTACGCTTGGAAAATCAATATAATTACTGAGTTATTCAAGTATACTTTAAGTATTGGTATTACGAATGTTGCTGATACGAACGTATGTCTTTGGTGGGTATTCTTTGCTGATCGTTCATTAATATTCTTTTTAGGTATTAATAATAAACACTTAAACAGTTACTCGACATTCAAGTCAGAACAACTGCCTGCCTGGCAGCTGAGGTGTAAACGATTCTTTCCTATCAGCGACAGTGGTAAAAATAGCAGAATTACCAATTTTCAAGGCCAACAGTCTCTTTCCATCTTAACGATTAGCGCAGCACAGTCGTCCTAACGTTGTTTTTCTCCATTTGTTTTAGACCTTATGCGGTACTAAGCTTATCAAATATATGTACAGGTATGGCCAAATTCATATGTACTCACACATACATACATGGGCACTTCGACGTTGTTTAATGGTTAGCAAGTTTGTTCTAGTGATCGGGAGTTGGATCTCTGGATCAGGTAACAAGATCCATATATTCTGGTTCAGTAGGAACGAACAAAAAATGGTATCAGAGGAATAAAAATAGTACAATAACCAGCACATACAAGATACTCCATATCTGTTATAATAATAATAATAATAATAATAATAATAATAATAATAATAATAATAAACGCCTGAAGATAGCTAGATGGCATTTAGCTGAAACCTTGTGTCTATTATAATATTTATGATAACAAAAATTGAGAACAATAGTTTAAATAAGTCAAAAATATATCGATAAATCCTTATCTCAAAATTTGGACAAAATTATCAAAAGTAGTATAAACCCGCAGTGTTAGACAGATATTGAAACCATCTCATATATATATATATATATATATATATATATATATATATATATATATATATATATATATATAAAATCTTATTTTTTTTTGCCGATACGTTTCGTCCTCCGACTTTTTCAAAGCAAAAAATGAAATCAAAATGTTTTCAAGGATTAAATATTTTAACTGTAAAATTAGAAACAATAATTTAATATCTATTTTTTATTTCATAATTTCTTAATTAGATAATAATTTAAAGTTTTTTATTAATTAAATAATTGTTTAAAATTTTTTAAGGATTTTGTCATGTATACATTTCCATACGTAGAAATTATGAACGTTTTTTTTAATAAAATTTTTTTTTGAAATTATTTTAAAAATATTTTGGGTCAAAAGACTGTTATGTGCTTTTCAAATTTCGATTCGTAAATTTACTTTTTCATTAACGTTATCATTGCATTACGTGCTTGAAAGCAATAAAGAATTTTAAACGATTTTTGAAGTATTAAGAAGTTAATGAAATATATATATACATCTAATCCTAAGGTCAGCTATCAATTATAAAATTAATTATAGTCATCAAATTCACTTAAACACGCCACGATTTGTGCTTTTACTGCAATTAGGAATATGAACCTAGCGCCCCCCCCACCATAAAACTTCTAAAAATCGACATCGAAAATTTAAAAAAAATGTTTTTAATACTAGGAGCGGGAACTTAGCCCCTATTTAAAACAAGAGGAGAAGGAGCCTAGCTCCCCCCCCCGCCACTAGAGTAAATATCTATTTAAAAATATTTATTTTAAAATATTGAGGTGGGGGGGGACTTAGCCCTATTTTAAATTAGAGGGATGGGAGCTTAGACCTATCCTTCTCGAACGGTCATAATTTTCTGTTGTCGAATTGCCATTTTTTCCTATTTATTCACTTTTGCCATTTTTACCGTTGCCATTTTTACCCTGCCATTTTTTCCGCTGCCATTTTTACCGAGCACCAGATAGATCAGTAATTAGCGTTCTAAATTCATTAGATATTCTCTAGCCATTTTGATACTTACTCTTAGCTCTCTTATTGCGGCCTTGTGTCCATCAGATATGCGCTGGATGAATACCTGCAAGCACGCAAAAGATCATAGACAGAGAGTGGATAAAACATTCTTGTAACTTGAAGTCAAATTAATTGATGACCCAATCGTTTACTGAGTTGCCATGCTGAAACTTTTATGGTATTTTTCAGAGCAGTCCGAGGATTATTTGATATTTCATATTTTCTCTCCAAATAGCGTTTTATTGGATAGCATGTTAATCCCTTTTAGGAGATCCTCCCAATTTTCCAAGCAAACTCAAACATCCACAACCGGAATTTGAACCCGATACGCCGTTTCTATTATCAATCGTAAAAAAAAACAACGTCATGTCTCTTTATCTCTGTTTCAAAATGCATAAAAATCCCATAAGGATACCCATATTTATTTTACTTTTTTGACATTTGTATATCGAACTATAATGGCAACGTTTAACGTGTATCATTGAGAATAAATACGCATATTTATATATATATATATGTAACATCGCACATTTATATATATATATATATATATATATATATATATATATATATATATATATATATATATATGTATGTATGTATGTATGTATGTATGTATGTATGTATAATCGCGATTATGGAACTGTTTTCTGTGCACTTCGCATAGAAAAGGGAAAAAATATATGCACAATTACCCAAAAAACAAAAAAAAAACAAACACGTTAAAAACAAACGTTTCTTCAAAAAACAACGCATGTATTCTAATTATGTCCGTAGTGTGCACAACACACATGCACGTATACATTCACACACACACACACACATATATATATATATATATATATATATATATATATATATATATATAATGTACACAGTTCCATGCTCGTATGAAAACAACACAAAAACTTATAGAATTTATACCTATATATATATATATATATATATATATATATATATATATAGACATCAAAAAACGTACAGAAATTTATATATATATATATATATATATATATATATATGTGTGTGTGTGTGTGTGTGTATATATATATATATATAAAATTAAAAAATCAGTTACGCGTTCTTACAACCCTACCTGTCCAAACACCTCACGGCCTGCAATCCATTATCTTCTCCCATACATCACCCCTCGTACTCTGATTATTTTTTTTTCTTTTTCAGCGGGGATCGGGAGTTGAAGGTGAGGAATCCTTTTTTTTTTTTTTCATTGTCTTTTTTTTTTTATCTGCTATCCCCAATGGAAGTAATTTGTCGACAACTCGAAGAAAAACGCTGATCAAAAGAGCCGACACTGATCATTTCCGAAACCAGACTCTGCAAGA